TCTCTCACTCCTGAAAAGTAAATGTTTAATCTCCTACACAGTGAAGCAATGGCCATGTTAATCCCTTCATGTATTTTAAATCATTGCCCTGTGCCTGGGAAAAGAAATCAATTTTGACTGATGTGCAACTGAAATCTGCACATTTGCATCATGTCTTAAAGATACAACATATGACTGATTTAGGGAGAACAGCTTCATCTGGTACTGTCACTGTGTGTCCCTCTCCCACAAATCTTTAGAAATCCCAAGGCATTTTTCTCCCTTCTTCCTTTGCAAGAAATGTAAACTGCAACTCATGAAACCTATGTGCTTTCAGAAATGTGAGCTCTCGTATGGAAAACATGCTCAGTATTTCTGTCACCTTAATTAAACATCTACTTGACATATAGTCTTCTGCTCACAAACAGAATCAGTCTTCCTAGTGGATGAACAAACCCTGGTGGTTTGTAGGCTGAACGTGGTCCCTGAATAAATGTAGATATAGTCACCAAAGAAAGATATTTACCCAATTATAGCAATTATAACCAATTATAGCAAATGGTAATTTAAGACTAAAACAAGGAGCAGGAAGCTGATTTTCTCCCTCAGGATCTCATGGTAATAACACAAATTCCAAATTCTGTCACCAAAATAAACTCAGACCTCCCTGTCCACATAAATACCAGACAATCACATACTTGCTGCTTGTAGCCTGTATGAAGAATGGCACACTGAAATCTTCCTTCAACTGGCAAATGCCTAAAGATACTTAAAGTAATAAACAACTGCTAATTAAATGTATCTTTCTGATTTCTTTTCCAATTTTTAATTACAGAATATCTGGCCTACCTGGAATTGCTCCACTGAATATAAACCTAGAATTATAAGCATTTCTTTCCCATGCACATTGATTTTCAGGACTCTACATCATCATCATCAGTCATGAGATAAAAAGAGAAATCAATTACACGCAGCTTTCTATCCATCTCATTGGTATAATGCATGCCTGGAAAATCAGTGATCTTTTCAGGTCCCAACTATACATGTGCCTTGTCTGATTGTTCTGTGTTCATTCACCATAATTTTCCTCTTATCCATGAGTTCAGTGTGCTGCATTCAGTTAAATACCCTTTCTCCATACATCCCCAGTTTCATCAATTGGTATGCTGGGGAATCATTACACTTCTCAATTCCAGAAAATAAAAGGTTTATACTGCTTTCTTCATAATTTGCTTTGTTTGTTTCATTAAATGCACTAAATCATTCTGTCTATACATCCATCCAGTTGGTCGTTCAGGTTCATTTTTTATCTGTTGCTTGCTGCTGCTGCTGTTTCAATCTTGTTGCAAGGAGAGATTAGGATGTCATGAGTTATCTTCAAGGCAAGCTGCCTAAAGGCTCTGTGCAAGATAGCTCTGCAGAAGGCACACAGGAAGGACACAGGCAGGAAGAAATTATGGATTTATGATCTTCATACACATGATTTTTATGAAGTATGGACACAGAGAAGCTGCATGGTATTGTCACAGCTGGTAGCTTTATAAGGGGCATGAAATACAAGGGCCAAAAAACTCATGGAAATACTAAATATGGAAAAAACAAGCCTATATTTTGCAAGTATTTTGGCTGTCAGAATAGCTACGTATTCCTACAACTCAGGAACACCTCTGAGCTATTGGATCTAGGCAGGAGTCTTGGTTCCCACACCCAAATGTCCATTCCCTCAAACACAATATGCTGGCAGTTCAACTGAAGGAAAAAATAGGCTTCAAACAATCCCAAATGTCCAGAGATTTCTTCAATCCGGCCAAACATGCATTACTGGGTGAATTTCAGTGGAGTCACTGAATGTTGGGTGGTGCTTGGACAGGTCAAAATTCAAGTTGCCATTGCAAAAAGTTATCAAGAGCAGTCACCTAACTTCAATAGTCTTTCCAGAAAAAAACAGCCAAAGACACAGCTAGGAGACAACAGCCTTGGATGAGGGACTTTTTCAGCAATGACTGCAGGTAGATTTCTGCTCCTTGTTCAGTAGTAACTACAACACTGTTCTTAGGTGGGTCAACCTCCTATTCTGATTCAGTGCAAAATGCCTCAAATCAGGCAAGTATAGTTGGCATCTATCTGCAAGTCACTCTTTGGCTTTACAAAACACTCTGTGCTCCATATATTTTTACATTTTTCTTATTTATATTACTTGCACAGGGAGATGAAGCTAAGAAATACTCTAATAAGGAGAACGCACTCTCCTTCAGGGCACAAGTTGACAACCAAAGTGGTAACAAGTAGCTCACAAGATTTTTATGGAGTATCCAAGGTCAGGTCAGGCCATCTGGGAGCAGCAGTGTTGTCACTCTTGATACACATCCCTGCACTACCTTCTTATAGCACAACATTCACAGCACAGGAGACTTTCTTGTTGAAGGTCTCATTTTGCATGGATGAGGTTATGGATTCTGGTATAACAAAGCTTTTGATTGACAGCCTATCCAAGGAATGCCTGAAGAAAAACTGTTTTGAAGATGAAAATGGCTTATGACTGAAGCTTCTAACTTCTGTTTATGAGCTGCCTGGCAGCTTTTACTTGTGATTTATTTTCTTCATGTGTTCAGGTGAAGTAGGAAATACCAAACTGTAGTGGGCTACTTGTAACTATCATTCCAAGAGAGGTGCTATAGCTTATGTCAACTCTCATCCTCCCCACTTACATTCCCACAGTAAGAAAAACAGGAAAAAAACCAGATCCCACAAGCAGTAACAGAAACAAATGAATCCCCTTTTTTTTTTTTTTTTTTTTTTGCTGTTTCACAAATTTCACAACACACAGAGAAAGGATGACAGAAATCTGAAAAATGGAACTCCTTCGTTTTACCTAGTAGCAATCTTATGCCAAAGGAAGGGAGACAGGAGCCAGGAAAAAAGTCCAGACTGAGTTTATGGAAGGAAAGTTTGCAAATACCCACATATTAAGAAGACAGGAAGGACAGCTTTTTAAAACAGGGAAAAAGTAGACTTACAGCAAGATTTACAAACATAAAGTATATCCCAAATATCCTATTTCTTTAGAGATGCAAGAAGGCAGTATAAAGGTTTGCTTCTTTGCTTTTTACCCTTTAATCTAGTGGAGATGAAGCATTAGCAAGAAACAAAATTCATGATCACAACTATAAACTATTCTGGCTAAAACAATACTGATAATTCTGGTTATCTAAATAACTTTGCTGCACAGAAAGAACAGGGTTAGCATTGTAAGACTGCCATATTAAATGGTTTCCTTCTCCATTATGGAAGTAAAATATGTATGGATTTTAAGGCTTGTCAGAGACTTAGATAGTAGAACTTCAGGCTTCAAACAGCTAAGTAGTTCAAGCAGCTGCAGAATTGCCTCACTCTAGCTTTACCAACAGATAAAAATTACTGCATATAGAATATCTTTCCATTCTTATCACATTTTAATGAAGGGCTACAAAGTGGGAAATACAGTCAACTCAGCCACATGCTAATCTATGTCAGTGATGGAGGAAGCTGTTCTCACAGTTTTGAACTAAATACACTGAGCCATCATTCTGCTTCAAGAAATTGGTATGAGCTGCAGTACCAGAACTCAGAGCTTATACAGCCAACACCAGGTAAAAGTAAAACCCCAGGATGCATTCTCTGGCTGCCCCAGTGGCACAGGGACCAAACACTTTGCTGTGTGAGAAGCAGTCTCAGTAGAAAACCTAGTATGTGTGCCAGAGCTAAACACAACATGCTACACACACAGTGTTTCCAGTCTGTGCAAACACAAAAGCACATTAGGTATCTTCTGCAACTCACATTGTGCAACCTCTGAGCAAACTGTTCTATCTTAGCAAAGGAAAGTGAGTAATGATGACACTTGCTGAGGGCTAATCAGTAAATTATAGCACATCAGTGTATACATGCAATTATTTTCAGCCTTTGTTTTCATGCATTGACAAAAAACTAAGAGGATTGCAAATAAATGTGGTAAGCAGATCTGAAGACAAACAGCAATAAATACCATGTTTTAAACAGCATATGATATTGTGTCTTTAATATAATCAAAGCTTATAAACAAAATTTGAGACAGCCAAGTTGGTTCATGGTTTAGAACTATAAAGCTAATAAAATATCCACAATCATCTACTACTCTTTTATCAATTTCTGGGATGCAAACTAGAAAGAGGGACCAAGATCAGCTCACAGTTTCATTCATCTCATTACCCAATTTGTTTGTAACATGTAGTTCTGCACAATTAAGCAATTTGAAGTTATCACTTTCAAAAAAAATCAGAAAAACAAATTCCATAGATATGACTTACTGGTACTCCATTGGCAGTTCTCAGAAACAGAATAGCAAAATGCAACAAAAAATACTGGCCAAAAATCCCCAAAATGCTCACAGTAATGAAGTTATTTTACTGATGAGAAGAAGTTTTAATAGACACTTGACATAAAACACTAGAAGTCAGCTCCTCAAGACAGAGGAAGAAAGATTTGCAAACATCTGAGTTAATACAACTAATTAAACCAGACAGATGAATTTTCATAAAGCCACCTAAATGTCTGTCAGGATCCACCACAATCTAGGAGTAACTGATCAGACTTAGACTGAGGACCACCTCAAAGCCAGAAAAAGTGACAAGTGACTGTCCTGTCCTACTTCACTCTTCAGTGGAACATAACAAAATAAATATTTTGTATATAGACAAAGGTTGCATTCAGGGCTCTGCACTGCAGAACAGACATCCTCTCAGAATCACACTGTGTTCTGCAACCTCACTCTCCTGACAGTCCTGCTATGGCTCTCCATGAAGCCAGGTGGTTCTTAAGATAAGGAAGGGTCACAGGCTTACAACTTTCTTTCCAGAAGGAAATTTCTGAGAGTGGTGACCAAAATCAGAAGTTTGGGTCCTTCCAGCAAAAATCAGGTCCATGATCTACCAGATAAAGAGCAACTCCAAACCACAGAAAGCACAGCTTTTTACAAAAGAGTCACTGCATTGAAATGAACTTACAGGAAGAGTGGATACTTGGAAAGCTTTTTCTGCCTTCAGACACCAGATCTGGATCACCTGTGCAGTGCATTTCAGAGTTCATTACTCCATCTGGAAAGCAGCGGTAAAAGAAATCGGGACGCGGTCTACAAAAAACACCATGGATATTAAGAAGATAAAAGCTGTAGTAACAAATAAACCTCAAAGTGATGATTACATTTACTGCTTATTACATACAGGGTTCATTCCCTTCAGCTTTAACACAGCAACCGAAATCACAGAATCATTTAGGGTGGAAATGACCCTTAAGGCCAGAGAGTCCAACAGCAAATCTAACTGCCAAATCCATCACTAAAGGTTTTTTTTTGCAGGCAGGCTCTCTCAGGGAACCTTCCAGCACAGCATGCAAGTGGGAGCTGTCTCTAAAAACACACATGCAAGGTTTCTCTTGCTTAGAGTGGTCATGTGGCACTTAGTGCCATGGTCTGGTAATGACAGTAGGTTGGACTCGATGATCTTTGAGGTCTCTTCCAACCAGGTTGATTCTGTGATTCTATGATTCTATACACAGCACTTCTGTGACAAAGTAGTGTAATGACCCACAAATTTTCACGTGTCTTGCCAACACATCCAGCTGAGTACAGGCCTACAAGTTAGGCTACAAGACTGGCACCAAAGCAATCACCAAATGCTAATGCCAGCCTTGATGCTGACTGCCTAACTGCATTGAACAAACCTCTGAGGTTCTTTTGATCCTGCTCTGAGCATGTAGGTTTGATTGGTGTCATACTGATCCCCAGCTATAAACCACGTAGAGAAGGAAAGTGAATGATCACAGATTCAGGGACAAGCTGACAGCACAACCAGTTGGCTTGGGGTGCAGGCAAAAGGAGCTTATGTTTACCTAAAAAGGATGGTGTATACTTAGTTATTTCAAAAGCACTGTTATAAAAGTGCCAAGTACCATTACTGTCAGGGCATCAGGACTGGAGCAGAGAGGGCTCATCAGAAACCAAACACAAATACTCCTTCCTCTGCAAAACAGGTCAACAATGAAAGCAGCATTGGACTCGATTGAATAGTATATGAATTCAAGTCAAATAGATATTTTCCAGCTGGAATTATTCAAAACTTTTATTAAGAACCAAAGAAAACCCCTCAAAAATATTTTCTGAGGAGTTTTGTTTGCTATATTTTTCTAAGCTCTTCATTCAAATTTATGCTTTGCTTAAAAATGGCATACCTAGGAGTCCACTTACTGCTCAGCTCCAAGGTTTGCTACACTATGGATGTTGGTTACCTGGAAATACCACTCTCAGTAACATGCTTCACACAAAACACAGGCTTTGGGTTATACAGAGACTTAACTGATCCCTATTTAATCAGACAAGGGGCACTGGCATCTAAATTCCCACATGCTGTGACTCTTCCCTTCTGTGTTTCCAATTTAATGAACTGATTTCAGCTCACACCTTTCCTTTCAAACTCCTCATTTGTCTGGATCTGCCAACTAGTCAAACAAATAACAAAACATAAGGGCACAGATTCCTACCACAGCAGGATGGCACATAATGAAGTTGTACAACACCTGCACCAGGCAAAGGACAGTTTCACAGGGGCCCAGTTTAACTCAACGTGCCTTGGAGCAGCAGCAATGGTTTCATTGAGATGTATTGTGGCTGTCACACTGTCTCCATTGCTCTTAACAGTTAAAGCCATCATTTATAGCATGACAAGACTTACCTTCCCACTATTAATTTAATAGTATTTGTGCAGACACCATTCAGAGCTAGAGCCAAGGAAACAGCTACAAAACAGAATGAACAAACAGAACAACAACAGCCTAAATATCAATAAATTGCAGCATTATAACATTTAATTTACAGACTGAAACCTTTACTGGACTGAAAACTGAACGATCTTTGCAGCCTATTGTTATTCTTATTATCCAGGCTAAGGACAGACCCTAGAGCATCACAAGAATCATGACTTACTTTGTTCTGTATTTACTATTGAAAAATCTTATTTCAGAACAACAACAGCCTAAATATCAATAAATTGCAGCATTATAACATTTAATTTACAGACTGAAACCTTTACTGGACTGAAAACTGAACGATCTTTGCAGCCTATTGTTATTCTTATTATCCAGGCTAAGGACAGACCCTAGAGCATCACAAGAATCATGACTTACTTTGTTCTGTATTTACTATTGAAAAATCTTATTTTATTTATGCTATTTGCACAGGCATAAATCATCAGATGGAAAAAAAAAATAGAAAACAAAGTACTGTGTTTTCAAAATATTTTAGTTTTGTAATTTACTAGATTAAAATCTAATGCTCTTTGGGTCAAGGAAAATTCCTGTATAAACCAATATGTAAGATACATATATATATATACACATTTCACATTTGTGTATATATATCTATATGATGCAATTAAATGCTTCACTTTCAGGCTAAACAATTGCCTTTTGGCTAAAACAAGACAAGGATGATTTGTTTTTCTTTCTAAAGGGTGTGGATGTTTTGACTAAAAATCTAAATGTTTTCCCCATACATTTGCTCCCAGGATTAACCAATTTTCCTCTGAAAATTGGAGTAATGAACAAGAACTGTCATACTAGGTATGACTAAATCACCTTTTTTATTTGTACTTGTATGCCAAGTCCCTAGACTTTCTGAAGAACCTCATCTCAAGCCTGTGGAGATCTCTGCCTTGATTTCAGTGGCTCTTGGATCCAGCACATACACTCCTTTTAGATTAAAACTGATTTAATGTTGCAGTCCCCTCTGCACGTTCCTGTTGCAACAGAGGAGCCACTGAATTTTATTTCCCATTGGAAAAAAAAAATTATCAGGCAAATCTCTGACTTCCAGCAGAACATTTACAGTAATATAACTTTTGACTTTGACAGCTACATGAGCTATCTTCTCACTGGACTGCTGTCCCAGATGCTGCACTTAGCAGCACTCATCCTGACTCTATAAAATCTTTGCCTGAGGATATTACAGATCATAAAAATGTGTGTTATAGGATCTATTTTTCTTTAAGGTAAAAAAATAAATAAAAGAAGGTCCTTCATCAAAGCAAAAATAAGGGTTTTCTCAGAATATAGCCATAGCTGCCAGCAAAAATAAAAGAACAAGTCAATCCTGGAGACACCAATATTGTTCAAAAAGTCTTCCTCTTTCAACACCTATGTACACAGTGACCACTCAATCCCATGCTCTCTGTTTCCCCTCAAATGTTTTCTCTCATTTTTTTGTGGAGATTGCATTGTAAACTGAAATTTTCCACAAGGTCAAATGCATATGACCAGCAATGTCACAGCACTTTTCAAAAAATGGGAGATGCAGAGACATCTGCTTTTGAAGACATGCAGTAAAACTTAACTCTTTTTGTTGAGCATTGTCTTGATTGTTCATTGTATACCTGAGTGAACCAAGTTTTCGCTGTTGCATGTTCCTTACACTTGCAATCCAAGCACCAAAGGACAGTGTGAATGCAAGAAGATAAACAAATTCAATTTGCTCTCATTTTGTTCCCTTTAGGAAAGATTCCTAATGCCCATCAAAAGTCATATAATCCAGTCAGTAAGAGATGCAAGCACCTCCAGAGAAAGACTTAAGGGCACCTATGTTATAAGGAAGCTAAATACTCCTTAATCTAGGTGCACTGAATCACATTTTTTATATTAATGGCAAAGAATTTTCACATCCTTTTAACCTTGGCTCTCTTCTACACATCATGTCTAAAGAAATTCACTTTTTGGGGGATTTCCTGATCATCCATTATGAACTTTATGTGCCAGATCTCAGCAAATCAGCAAAGCTTCGCCACAGCTAATGAACCTCTACATTACCAGACACATTAATATACTAAATCATACTAATGTACAGTACATTTGAACATAAATAAGCCACAAGAGGTTCCACACTTAGAGCACAAACTGAACAGAATATCAAGGCTACTGTTTCCTTAAAGTCTGTGAAGCAAGGAGAATACTGGGGAAACTGGCAAGTTTTCTCCTAGACATTATAGAGGGAATCATAACAGAAGGCAAGAACAGAAGGAAAAAAGTAGATGTCTCTTTAGAACAATAAGGTGAGAATAAGTGATGGAGAAACTAATCCTTTCCCTCTTGCACACCAGAAAGTGAAGCTCAGAACTGTGACTACGCATTTTATGAACAAAGAGTGATTTTTACTGAATGGACTTGTCAGTAAAATATCACTATAAGACATTTTAGAACTTACTACAAATGACTGGCAGCAGCCAAAACAAATCTAGGATCATTTCACACTTATGCTAGAGCAACTGGAAAAAGAAGCAGTTATGGGATTGCAGCCTTGTCTGAAAAAAATGTTCCAAAGGCAGATACATATTGCCATTTACATCCTATCCAGCTAAGGCAAGGCTGAGTATTGGGTTGATTTTACTGTCTAAGGGTCAATAAATTAAAGTGAAAATTAGACAGTAAACCAGAATTTCAGAATTAGGTATATTTCAAACATACTGCCAACAAAAACATTTGCAGTTCTTAGTGCTTCAAAGTATCATTTGCCAGTGAAAGTGCTTTAGTCAATATTGGTCTCTGGCAATATCTGTGTAAAAACAATCTGGGCATGTACCATTAAGATTTCAAAAGGTAGGTGAAGCCAGAACTACCTGGAACAGTTTAAGACTTATTCTCTCCATTGTCCACCTGCTCTTCTGCTTGAATTTTCTGCCAACAACTGTTTGCCTAGAACAATTAGCCCTCAAAGCCATTGCAGTGCACAGTCCAGGATAAAATGCACATCTAACTCCACTGGCAGTTTAAGATGAAGAACTGCTTTTAATTAGAAAAACTGAGCCAAGAGCACAGATTTTGCAATGGGCAGCAGTAAATTCCAGGAGAAGATCAGAGAAAACAATGAGAGGAGTAATTTCCTACGCTAAGCAGCTGAGTCTTACAGGACTATCCAGGCAAATCCTGAATTTAGAGGAGCAGCAAGTATAAATAAGAGGTAAGTAATAGATTGGGTGTGACAGAAAAATATAAGCCTGAACAGTCTCTCAGATGGTGTTGTCTTTGCTGATCAAATTCTAACCCTTGCTAGCTAGATTGTGGAATTAAGGCACAGAATTTGTAGATCTAGAAACACACATAAAACCAAAGGCTTTGGTGAGATGTCTTGCAACTATAACTGCACTGAGCTCTACTGTAATGGACTGTAAGAGAGACAGGTTTTTTCAAGGCTTACACTATTGTTGCAATCAATCTCTGAGTGCTATCACACATTTTCCATCTTGAAGTATGACATACATTACCTAAGAAAGCCTCTTTAATTTCAGTCTTGTCTGTTCGACGGATTATTTTCACCACAAAAATGACTGCAAGTGGTGTGAGGAACGAAATGGCCTGAAAGAGATAACAAATACTATGTGTGAGAGCATCAATTCCTTTTCAGTCAAACTGATTAATAATTAGCTTCAGTTAGCTCCAGTGAAAGTGAAAGGCTGAATGAGCTTTATCAAACTCCTGACCTTAAGCAAAGTGGGATGATTTGTCTTTGCAACTACAGAGCAACGAATACATTAAAATTCTAAGACTGCTGTGGGTTATAATTGATTTGTAATTGCCCAGAGCTGCATTTTAAATGCCAGCTTCTTACATGAAAAAAGTAACAGTCCATAAAGTCCACAAAGTTTGTACACTGATCCATACAGATTTTGTACACTTTTTTCACAGTGAGCATTGCTACCAAAGACTGTGTGCTCAGTAAAACCCTGCTCAACGGAACAGACTCCAGCACCAACTCCCTGGCATTTTAAAATGCTCTTTATTTTCCTTTTTTCCTTTTCTTTTTAACTGCCTCTCTTGAATGCATTGGGAAGATCACATTTTGATGATTATTTTTGTTCACAAGTGTTTGGATGTGGAGCAAACTGCTTGATTTTTGTTCGGAACTAGAAAAACAACACATGAGCATTTTCTTTGGTTAGGCAGAACCTTATTCTTTTCTTGTCAGCACTGTAGGACAGGATTCCTCCTACAAAGAACCTGAAATGGCATCTATGCATCAGTGCACACACTCAGTTTCCACGAACAGCACCTGCATTATCATAGAGCAATCTGGACTATGGTTGATGATTCACTGTAAATGTTATCCAAAAAACATCCTACTTCATGCAGTGCCTGTATACTGCAGTCTGTCCTCCCAGAGCAGGTATTTATTGTCCTTCTCCAGAGAGAAATATCAGTTTGTCCCCAACAGAGTGCCAGGGAGTTTCTCATTAGTAGCTTGCCATGAAAACTATGATTTTGTTCCCAACTGGTCCTTCCATTTCTGTCTCAGACTTTTAGTTCAGACGTAAAAGGCAACTTGAAGGCAAGGGAGTGTATTTATGCCTCTTGCTGGTTCCAGTCTAAATTAACAAATTCCCTTCTGGAACTTACAAACCTGTTCACAATCACAATTGCTCAAAAACGAACTGAAGTCTTTCAAAACCATTTATTCTCTCATAGAAAGGTGAAAACGACTGGTTTATTGCTGGGTTTTGTAAAACTAGGCAAAGATTAAGCTGGAAATGGCACAAGGCTTGCCAGGTTTTAAGTAAGATTCTGCTGTCTTTACTGAGGCTGAACAGTGCCTTACTTCTTATACAGCTCCACTGAAATAAAATCCAGATAGGACAGATGTTATGACAAAAGACGCGTGACACAACCTTCTTTTGTAACACAGATTAATCTCAGGCCTCACTTTATGCTTTTAGGTATCTGAATAGGAAACAACATGAAAACACACTGTGTTTGTTATTTTGGTTGCGCATCTTGCACCAGATTCTTCTCACCTGCATGTGCAAAATATTATCTGACTTGGTGAGCCACACAGATAGAAACACAGTCTGAAGTTTGTCCCCTTTTTCTACATTTACAAAGGCAGCACCAAGTTTTGGGAAAAATAGATGCACCATTTCTACTTAAAACTTCCTTCTGTCTACAGTGTGCGTGAGATTCAGGTTCAGATGCCAATGCCATATTACTGCTCCAGAAATGTTTACTTCTCTCTAGCCTCAGCAACAGTTTAACTTCTGCTTTCAGACACTGGGAGTGAAATAAAAATAAAGGTTAAAGCAAACCCTAGAATTATTAGTTTTTATTCTATGAAGTAAGGATTGCCATCAGGAAAGAAAAAAGAAAGATCTCTGCATTCCACTCTTGAAGAACATGTAGAAATATAGCCAAAGCTGACAGGCTCATAGTGGTGGATTAATGGAGTTGAAAACCTTTTGAACAAGCAGGAGCACAGAAAAATTCAACAAAGAATAGCATTCAAGTGGCAGCTTGTTCCAAACCACTTCCCAGTCAATCTTCAGAAATCTGGGAAAACTGCAGATTTCCTCCTATTTCAGAAGCATATGAATTTTTGAGAGAGATGAAGAACTATTCCAGTTTGCTGTTCCTTACACAAAAGCATTAGCTGGAAGGTGCTTTTTATTCTGCAGCAAAATGCACGCAAAAAAAAAAAAAAAAGAAGTTTTGGCTTGCTAAAGACTCTGTTTTATTTATTTTGCAAGAAGACTGTGTATGGCTCACGTCTATAACAGATTTGGCAACATTCTAATGAGCAATACTCTCCTCAGATGCATCTCAGCAGTGTTTTCTTTTCCAGCAGTGAAATCTTCCAACATTGCCTGGCTTTTGTGAAACATGGACAAAATTTCTCTTATTTCTTATTCACCCTGGCAAGCTAGAGATATGCTGAAGTTGTAGGGACTCCCACACACTTCCTTGCATTCAAGGGAAGTTGGCAGTACCCTACACTTTCCAAGACAAGGAATATCCACAGAGAGATAGAACAAGGCTCAGATCTTTCCAGCCCTTGCTATTCATGCAGAAGTCAGTTTTGTCTAATCTGGATTTTGGTTTGGTGTATTCATAACATTTCTCTTGAACTAAAATCTCTCAGTATGTCAAATAATCCAGCAGCTCACAAAGTTTAGAGATTACTTTCAGCTAAACCATAGCTGTATGTTTCAATATCAACGTTCACCACTAGTGGCAAGAAATTCTTTACGTAATGAAAGCTTGTGATCAATGCTAGAGTTGGATTTTTCTTCTTTTTAATTGCAAAAATAAGGAAAAGCATCTACAAATTGCCTACATTTCTTAATTTAAGAAGCTGTTCACTGATTTACTGAGATGTTTAAAGTTTGAGGCAGGAAGAGAACACATACCATACAAATGTTATTGACTCAGAGTTGCCTGAAATTTCCACCCACTATGAAATTTATAAAAATTGTTTCTATGGGAAATGGTCAACAGGGAAATGTAGCACACATATCCCAGAACTGTGTGTCCCAGGGGTTGCTGCCTAGAGAACAAAAGGTTGGACTAATGATTCTCTTAACTGGTTTGCCAAGTAGTTTCACCACTGCAGCAAACCCCTGTACAATGATTCACTATTGCTTCTTAAACTCTTCAGTCATAAACTTGGATCAGAGAAAACATACAGAAAGGTAAGACTCCGCATAAGGAAAAATGAGAGAATCAAATTCAGTCTTTGCTAGCACATCAGTTTGTTTGGTTTGGGGGTTGATTTTTCTTCGCGTTTTTTTGCTTGTTTGCTTTTTACACAGCTGTCTTCCGTTTCAGGAAAAACATATATTTTCATCCGTCCAGGCTGAAAAGGTCCATAATAGAATTGCTTCTTAATGCAATATAAACAACATGTTGGTGAATTTAAAACCAGGCCTTCAGCCTCTGTCTCAGAAGGCTGAGATATATGGTCACCTCATAAACACAAAGCACCTTCGAGTTGTTCCTTACTTTATTAAAATATTTTCATAACTGAAGGCATAAGCCATTGGGGCTGGGGGGAGTGTGTGGAATGAAGAGAAATTATATAGCTGATTTGCATTTCTTTCAAATTCAAGTCTGAAAAGGAAAATCCTGGCTACACTGAAGAATCAGGAAAAGAGTAAGGGTACTGGGATTTGATATCTTCTGCCATGCCCATTCCAGCAAAAATCTCCACTTCAACTGATGCAGCTCTTGCAAAGACTGACCTACTTCTTTTAATAGACTGAACTATACTCATAATTTCTTAGCATTTCCATCTATCTTACTGCACTCTTACAGTTATATATATAGATTATTATGTTTGTTAGTCATTTCTAGTGAATGAGTTTGATAACCAGCAAAACCAGTTGTGGAGAGTGCCAGAACAGTGATGGCAGGGCAGCTCTGTGACATATTTAGTACACTTGTTGGCAGAAGTAAAAATGAAGGTTTTGTCTATGTGGTGGGGGAAAAAAAACAGTATTTAGAGGCAAAGTATCACAGTGCCTAACATGCCTAAACCAAATTGGATTTCAAAATTTAAGCAGTTAACCTTATAAGAGCATGGCAAGGTTCTGTCAGGTCACCAAAGAGCTAATTCTAAAAGCTTCTCAACTTATTTCTCTAGCATCCCTCTAAGTTAACACTAGCTTAAATCTTACACTGAAAAAAATCCACTCTCCTAAATTCAGTCACCTGATAATGCTGCTTTTTATCAGCTCCCCAAGATTTGCTGCATTTTGGACATCCCTCGTTTGGAAAATAATTGTCTTTAGAATTAAAGGACAAACCTCTACTTCTGAAAGATTTCCTACTGCTTATCAAATAAAAGTGTACTTAATTTACAGCCATCAGAAGACCAATAAGCCTTTAGTACTTACAAACATAAGACGTGTCGGTACGTTGTCTGATTGCACCAAAGGATTTTTATATAGCCAGATCTCTTCTGGCTGGATAACCCGCTGGAATGGATCCAAAAATTCTGTAAAACTGAAAACAACAAATAAAGATACAAATTTTTCACAATTTGAAATGATGACCAAAAAGCCCCGAAGAGTTCTGCTGATCTAAAACTTCCTCCAAATTTAACTATGCTATAGCATGAGTGAATTACCCTTATTGATGCCTTCCTATCCTACCTCAATCCTTTTTAATAATGCAATCTTTATAAATATACCCTTTGGAAAATGGTTTATAAAAGTCTATATTCTACAGCTTTATAGAAGTTCCATAAATGCTATTGTGGAGAATAAATTGTTTGTTGCTTGGGGGTTTTTTTGGTTTTGGTTTGGTTTGGTTTGGGGTTTTTTTTTGTGGGAAAAGTGTGCAAATAATATTGTGGGATTAGATAAATCCTGTAGCAGGTCTTTTACCCTGAAGAAATTATATGCCAGGTATCAAATAAAAAATGTCTTTCAAATGTCAAGATTCAGGCTTTGAAGTACAAGAGTTGTGTTTGCAGGATCACAAAGCATGGAGAAAGAAGCAGCCCAAGCAATTCCTTCTACTGATAGAAAGAGGAGATAACTTAGAGAATATCTCCAAAAGAGACTTACTCCTAAAACATGACGGTCTGTAATGCTTAAAAGAATTTAGGTCTACCAGAAATGTCTCATTCTACCAAAACTGATGGGTTTAATTTCATTATGTCATTTAGGTCTCTTACAAAGAAAAGAAACTCTATCCAAACAAACTAAAAAACCCCCATGGTTTTATAATGATGTTATTTTGAAATGAAGAGCATCAAAGTAAAATGTTGAGGTTACATTGTTCTATAGAAAGTAAGTTATTTGTGTGGATATCTTTTGTCATGCACTGAAAGAGAAAGCAGGAATTGTGATCTTTGACTGCAGTAAGATGTTTTAAAAGACTTTTGTGACTACATTTAATCCATACTCTTTTTTCCATGGAGTCCTTCACTGTTCTCTACCTCTTCTTAGGATTGAAGTCATATCTGACTTCCCAGGAAGTTTGGCCTTTGCTTTACATTATTCATTTTAGGTCTGGTTTGTTAGGACCCAAAGGATGGCTGCTGAGAGAAGGCACAGGGATCAGTTTTCTGCAGATTGGTCTCACCTATAAAGCCCAAGGAGACTGAACACAGAGGTGTAGCAGCTCAAAGCTACTTTTTTAAAGCAAATTTTAAAAAGACAAGAGCTTTAAAGGTCTCTAAACCCAGATTTTATACTAGTAACAGGTACATAAACTAACTTTGTAAAGCAGAGTAATAATTAAACCATATTTATGCATGCAACTCTCCCCAGTGAAGATGAGTCCTCAAATCTAGTTAGGTCAGTAATTTCCTAAGCAACAGCAAGCTTTACTCAGTCTTCTGGGTCTTGGGAAATCCTTCTTCTTATGCCTTCTGAGGGTTGACCAGCTGCTCTTTGTTTTCTCACTGTAGTCTACAATCTCTGCACTAACTACAGTCTCCCACACCCCCAGCACACACTGCTCCTGCCCATTGCAGGGAGGTTGGAACTAGACAGTCTTTAAGGTCTCTTCCAACTCAGATTTTTCTATGACTCTCTGATCCCCTTCACCTGAGCACCTCAGACTCCCACTAGACACAATGTACAGACCTCTCTCTACTTCAAAGCTCCCAACTGACCTCTTGTTCCTAAAGGAAAACAACAAAATCTGAGGACCAAACAAGTCAAACACAGTCTTGTTACTTGTAACAAGAGTTATGTTTTCTTTACTGACCTACAATGGCAACAAGATTATTCTGGAAGCTTAAGGAGTCTAATACTGCAAGAGGAATATTTACTATTATACTCAGTTTCTTGAAATCCAGAGCCTGATCCTATCCTCCAAATAAGATGCGAGGTGAACTTCAGAAGTGTTAAAACACTTTGTTTCAGTATTTTCAAAATGCAAACATTTTAAAGTTTAAAAAACAAAGGCTTGTGTAAGGCATGAAAGTGGGAAACATTTCTCAAGAACAGTTCCAGGAAATAAACCATCTCATAGATGAGACATTAATTTTACAGTTTTCTCTTCAACTGGAAAAATAAAGCTCAGTCCCTAGACAATGCAAACAACTTTGTTTCTAAATTTCAACTAAGAGTGCTAAAGTATATTACTTTTGTTTTCAGCCTTTAAAGATTCAATGGCAGCTAGAAGAAATTCACTACTGGTCGAAAGGGTTAAGTTGCCAAGTCACAGGTCTGGATATGATAGCTAACACATGTCACCCAGGAGAGCTGAATAGCAAAGTTCACATCTATACTGTCCAGAACTTAACATTTGTTATGAGGATATATACAGGATCCATAGCCAGGACACACTTCACTGCTGTCATCTAAACAAATAGATAAGTGCATGCATGTCTGGGCACACAAGAAGTTAAAGAAACCAGCTGAGTTTCATCTTTTCTGACATACTCCCTCAGGTATCTGCTGGCCTGACTGTTTTGAGGCAGCTCTCAAAGCACTGGGACTGATGGATGGGCCAAGGAATGCCTGGAAGCAGAGACATGTTCTTTGACACATCTAGGCCTTGAAGCAATTCTGCTAACTGCAGAAAGAAAACAATACACAAACATTTGTGCTTCAAGGAGATCACAGTACATCTGTGCACTTTTGGAAAATGTGTCACAATAGACCAGAAATTTAATTAATTTGACATTAAGACATTTGACATTATAAGCAAGTGCCAACAGAGTTAAAGGTTTGGGGCTCTTCTTGATCTTTTGTTTCCTGTCCCCTTGTAATGTAAGAAAGCTAAAATTATAGCTGTTCAAATCAGAGAAATTAAAAAAAAAAATCAAATTCATAGTTCTCACAGGAAACACATCATGACACTGCAAATAGGCACTGTCTTATGTCATGAAGTCCAGAGGAGGCCACGAAGCTGCTAACAGGACTGGAGCATCCCCCCTATGAGGACAGGCTGAGGGAATTGGAGCTGTTCAGCCTGGAGAAGTGAAGACTGTGTGGAGACCTCAGAGCAACCTTTCAATATCTGAAGGGGCTACAAGGAGCCAGAGAGGGACTCTGTGTTAGGAACTGCAGTGATAGGACAAGGGGTAATGGGTTCAAACTGAAGGAGGGGAAGTTTAGGTTAGATATTAGTACTCTGTGAGGGTGGTGAGAGACTGGAACAAGTTGCCCAGGGAAGCGGTGGCTGCCCCAAACCTGGCAGAGTTTTGGCCTTGAACAACCTGGTCTGGTGGGGAGGTGGCCTCCCTGCCCAGGGCAGGGGGTTGGGACTAGATGATCTGTAAGGTCCATTCCAACCCTTAAATTCTGTGATTGATGATTTAAAATCATATGTTTTAATTCCTTTAACAGCAAAATAACACATGTGCTAAAGAGATGAAGCGATAATAAATACCATAAATACTATCTGATTTCAGCTGAAGACTCATTATCTGAGTAATATACTATTTATACTCATTATCTGCAATTTCAACAGATCTATCAATGACACCAATCATTATTATTAATATGTAACAACATCAGTTTTGTATCATTACATATTAAATCTGATTGTTTTTTTCTTTGACTTGTGTTCTGAATGTCTTCCAAGAATAATCTTCACATATTCTAAGACATAATGAAAAAAAAAGTAGAAAAAAAATTGCTGAAACTGGTTAAAATAATTTCAAAATCACTATTGAAAGAAAAAACAACAGATGCAGCAGATCTTGTCTGTGTGAACAACACAGAAACAGAACATAAACAGTTAAAGTGAGTGTATAAAAAGAACTCACTTTTTTTTTAATCTTCTTAAAGAGCTCAACTGCTAATTAAATTTTTATGCCAAGATGCGTAAGAAAACAATTCTCTTCTCTTTTGAAGCATCACCAATGGGTGACTGGATACAAGATTCCACTAGCTTGAAGGCAATTCCCTTTGTACTCTATTAAACAATCATGAGGACACACTGGTTCCTAAGCTGCCTGACACTTAGTGATTTATGTTCCTTCGTTCCAACCAAAAGTACAGTCTATCACTATTCATAAGCCAGCACAACCTTGCTTAAATGACTAGATGTTACTAGAAATGAATGTTGTCCTTGGATTAAAAAGCTGGTTTCTAGGCATTTTCTATTATGGCTGAAAGTGCAAGCTCAATCATGCAATGTCCCCTGGCAGCAGGTGGGCAAAAAAGCTTATTTTGTGTTAGTACATAGAATTCTAGTCTTGGCTTTTTGGCCTTTTTCTTCATGTTTATATATTCATCCAACATTTTTAACAGTTTAACAAGCAAGATTTTGAACACTTCAGTCTGATGGCATAAGGTTTAAAGCATAAAATTACTTCCATTAACTTCAAGAGCCTTTAGCTGTGACTTTCAAAGCAATCTAAGGGAAACAACAGCCCTAATTCCATTAAAAATATCAGTGAGCAACAGGTGCCCAAATCCCTGAGGTTGCTTTGGACATCTCAACATTTCTGCTTACAACACTGCACAAAGTAAAAAAGCTGTTCTTTTCTGAGGACACAAGCACTTCCAAGGTACATTAACTTCATTTCCATTTAACAGCATGTAGCCCTTTAAGATCATTTCATGCAAGCACCACATCGCAGTCAGATCCAGGTAAAAGTGCACAATAGCTTTGTGGTAATATGGACAAATAATGTTGAGGTTTTAAATTAAGCCATTCACTGGTAGTGAATGAATCAAACATTACATAAATATCCTCACAGGGTCTTTGGCCTGATTTTTATCTCCCATAAGCAACAGCAGGCTATTGGGTAGCATCTCACCTTACTGCTTCAAACATAGCCACCACTGGCCTTCAGCAACGTGAAATCAAGAAGCAATGACATTTGGAAGCTGCTAAGATCAGAGAGAGAGCAATAAGCAGCACTGCATTGGAGAGGTGGTAAGGCAGAAACTTTTAAATGTTAAGTGTAGAAAAGTATGTTCCCAATCAACAAGAACAGGGCAGATAGATGGGCCCAACATTAGGTTTGTACTGTTGTGTCCTGCTAGGCCAAGATAGAAACTCCCAACAATGAAATCATGACTAGCAGTCACCTTAAAAGCACTTACAGGCATTACAAGGACTGCCATGGACCAACAGCTCCATTTCCAGAGAGTAGCAAGATCAAATC